GATGAATCATGTCGGAGCCAATTTCCTTGATGCTCCGGCCATTTTTCCTACTCAATGTCTGCTAGGTTGTACGAAAGGCGACAAGTATTCATAAAGCTATCTCAGAACAGAACAGACATCACTGACAGGATACCTAAAATGTACAGCTCCAATCAGACTCATTAACAACATTAATGATCGTGTTATTCAAATATTTTCATATTATTTTTATTATGATATACTTTTTTTTAACCCATTAAGACCATTGCAACATACATGCATAGTGTAAAAAAATGCATTGTGATTTGCTGAAATTCATGTCCGTAAGGTGAAATACATTATGGGAAATATTTTTTCTTTTTTTTTTTACTCTGATTTTATCCCAAAAAAAGGGATTATTGTATAGCATTGTTTTCACCCGAATCTTCATCAGCATTTATAAAGAAATCAATAAACGTTTAAAAAATTGAACTGAACTGAGAATTTTGACAAATGTGCCCAGTTTTCCAGCCACATCCAAATGCCAAGGCAAAGCCAACAATTTACAATAAATGTCAAAGGCTTAAGGTCTCAAATTATTTTTATTTCATGTTTTTAGCTGCTTACTAATAAAGGTTTTAGTTCACGTGAAGTTTTTCAGAAAACCTGCATGTTTTAAGGGATTATTTTCAAAGAGTGCTGAGGTTTCAGAACGTTTCTTTTAGAGGGCATCTTAGGTCTTAATGGGTTAATATCCAATAGCCTTCCAGAATTTCACTCCCTGCTCACTGTTCATGAGTTGCCAGTGAATTCAGTTTTGAGTTTGAGCAGTGAGCTGAAAGAAAGCTGAAACGCTGAGCAATCATGTGCAGTGAATCTAAATATTATGGAAATAAAGCACAGTGTAGAGGTGAAGCCGAGTCCATTATTTTCTATATTAAAACATCTTAAAGTGTATTATTGTGCTTATGGCATGACAACCTAAAAGGAGCTAGTGTATGGTTTTCTTACTCTATGGCTTAATTTAGTTTTATTCAGAAACTGAATCAGGTGAATATTTGAGGTGGAATTTAACAACCAAAACCAGTGAATGTCTGGTGTGTTAAAACAGGTCATATTGAAGGAAAGAAGCAAAGAGCTCCCAAATGTACAACTTTCAGTAAGTGATAATGTACTCTGAGCACACTGCAGAGAGCTATTAGGTTATACAACAACCAGTTATCACAGGCATAAGGAGAAGCTGTGTAAAACTCCTCATGTAATGTGTATCTGTCTATGTCGTCAGTTTAATTTCCACTTCTCTAAAATGTGATAATGAGTTAATTACACTGGATTCACCTCTGACATTTTAGCAAATGTTACACATTAATAAAGTGGTTCAACCTTATTTTAAGGCTAAAGAAAGCTATTTTAAGAAATACAAAGTGAAAATGTAATTATTCTCCCGCCTGACAAGTTCTCTTCTCAGAGGCTTTATGAATACAGTCCTGGACTATAGTATAAACTAACAGCAAAGCACCAGTAAAAACTAGAACACGTTTTATCCAGCCAGAGAGCGAGCTTCAGTAACAGACTTCACTTGATATTTAAGGCAATGTAAGTTCATAGAATTTTTCCTCTCAAAAAATAAACAAAACAATATAAGGAAAATGAAAAAAAAAATCAAAAAATTATGAAACATGCTGCAAAGAGTAGCAGCAGCAAAGACATTGGTTTCCACAGACAGAAAAATAACAACAATGTAAAAGCAACACAGCAAACCATGACCATTTGTGACAACAAATGGAATCTACTTTTATCCTGAAAATGAATCTGTTACAGAAAAGAAATGGGTGAAAAAAAAACTATTTCTGTATTGAAAATAAGGATAACCAAGTGAAACACTAAAGTAACAACAAGAGACACGATTATAAAATTAAAGGGGATACCAACCCTAAAACAGAATCCACATGTTCATTCTTACGGCCTGGACAGTTTAACCATCAACTGAAAACCATCTGAAAAGTGGAAATATTGAAAGTGTAAAATTGTGAAACTGCATAAATGTGAACTAAAATTATTATGAGTAAAAAAACAAAAAAAACAAAAAAAAACCTCAAGTCACACAAAAAAAGCATGAATCAGAAGATGCACCAACATTTCCCGTGAACTGAGTGACTGACTCCTTTTATTATAAATAAAAATCATTAAATTCTATTATTCTACCTGCTTGTAGGACTATCTCTTTCCATATTTTTATTTATATTTAAAAGTAAAAATGTGAGATTCTTCTGTTGTTTGAAATGAGCATTGCCACAAAAAGTGTAAATAGTTGTTCTAATATTATACTTTTTGCAAACATATAGGAAATACTTGTTACAATTTTTGATCATCATAGTATCACCCAAAAAAAAGCTCAAACAATTAGTACTTGAACTAACTAAAACTTAATTCAAATTGTTACAGTTCGATTTGCGTAAGTATAGCAGACAAATTTCCAGTCAAGAACAGAAATAAATTATATTCTGCATTTTGCATGAAATGATTTCTTCATATTTTTGATACTTTGTTCTATTTTTGTCAGTTGAAGAGTCGAGTAAGTGTTCTAAAAGTTCACATCGACATCGTGCATCTAGTCCAAGTCTGTCAGTATAATTTCCAAAACTGTCCAGGACCATGAGAATAGACGTGACTTCTGTTTCAGGGCTGATTTCCACTTTAAGACACTAAGAAGAGAGAGAGCCCCTTTGTCCCTTGGAGTGGGGTCAGAGCACTGTGACCCCTTCCTCCTGCTTTGCCACTGTGGTGCTGGGAGTCAAAATTACTCCATTGTTAACACTGTTAACACCCTACCCCAAACCCCTGCCCAGTGCAAATGTCTCCACCTCCAAATATCTCAAATTAATCAGTTTCACCATGGATTCCTAAAAACCCACCGAAAGCTAAACACCTGGGAAAAAAACCAGCACATCCAGATGTGTCATTTTTGTCCAGAATGCTTAATTAGGGTGGTTGGTATCATTAGAAACTGAACCATAAGCTGCAAGCAAGCATCTTATCATATTAGACATTTCCATGTGAAACAGATCCTTTTAAACTGCCACTTAATACCTATATCTAAAAGTCATCTTATGCATTGTTTTTCATGATCATTGCAATGTTACCATCACAACAGACAGAGCATTAGTTGCCAATTGAGTCCCTGGTTGATCATCTTTTAGAGGGTCACTTCATTTTAGAAAACACCAGACAAAGCAGATTGTGTGACACTGCTATCATGTTTTGGTAATGTGTATTTACTATTATTAATTTTTAAACATATGTTGTCATGTATTGTTCAGTGGTACAGTCACAGATGTGTTGTACACTAAAAACAGTCTGGCAAACATATCCCAAAAAATGGGGATTATTTTTTAATCTTTAATCCAATTAAGAAGACCACTAATCACTTTACTGTTATCTGACAATTTATGCGTTAGTATAATGGGTATAATGTATGTAGAAATTAAGGCATCCTATGTTCCCTAAGTGCTCGATGCAAATCTTTGAAACAGCTTTTATGATGCATTGGTTTTGCCCAGGCCACTTTAAAGATTTGTTTATGGAGAACTTTTGAAGCCCTAGCTGGAAATGTCATACGAGTAGATCTACCTTTGGATACTAATTTACACTTCACATACATTTGTTGAGTGTTTGTGTTTCTTTCAGGTTACAATCTCACACCCCCCACCCATCCCACACACATAGACTCTAAATTTCCAACACCCACAGGTGATCATAGAAAGTTTTCAAAAATCACAAAACCTCTAAGAAACGCGATTTAGGACAAGGTTTCTTAGGCTTATTTTGCTTAATTGAGGACACATTGAGAAATGTTGCTCCTACGAGAAATAACATTCATGTGACCGATTCCGGGTCCATAGACATAGTTTAAAAAAAACTGTTCAAGAGTAGCTCGTTGCACATTATTCTTTTTCTTTATGCCGGCTATTGTTTGCAGATATTACATCCAACTTTCTATCTACAGTCTCAAATATCACATTACATTTTTATGTGCCCAGTTTAGTCCTGACAAGGGCTCAGCAGCATATTACCATTATGAAGATCCATTTGGAAAGGACCCATCACAATAAAGAACTCACACTGGGATCACTATGGACCACAGGGCTTTTTGTCCACTGCCTCCCACCAGTGATGATAGAAAGTCCCTCAGAATGAAACATCGACTGATAAAGATACAATAAACGGTAGTGAAAGTATTTCACACTTTCGGAAAGCTTTTGTCTTCCTTGGCAAGTCATCAGTCTGTGGTCCATACCACCAGATCCATGCTTCCGATGTTTATAGTCTTTCTACAAGCACCAAAGTAGCGCGTAGTGGTTTCAGAGATTTGGTATCAGCAATTCCTTCAATTAATCTCTTGCTGTTTATAAGTTCTCTCTAAATGTCTGGCTCCAACACCTGCCTTCTCATACCTAAGTACAGAGTCAGGCATTTTTCTAACAGCTACAGCAACTGGGTAACGGCCTCAGTTGGCAGATCTAGTTTCTGTTCACGAGGATGTTGTTTGTTGGACCTGTAATAAATGTCAAATAACGCTTTCACCTCTTTTGTTTTTACATCCACCTCAAGACTGCTGGATCCTTAAGCAAGTCTTGGTGTTTCCCTAAAGTCTGTAAAACCTCTTAGCGCCTCAGTGGAGTTAGGGACATAGTTGTTCCAGGATCCAGAATGGATTGAGCTACTTGCATATCTGGCACCCAGATGTCCACCACCCTTCCCACCCAAGCTTTCAATATATCGCATTTCCCTCCACCCATAAAAGCACCTTATGGGTCCTATGTTTGCCACCCCCATCCTTATTCCTAAATTCGTTTTCTTTCAATCCCGTCCTCCTCATCTCCCTCCCCCCCGCCCCAGGCCAGCCTTCTAGTTGGGGGGCGGGAGGGCTCGTGCCGCTAGAGAGCTGTAATCTGAGTTAATTCTGTGTTGGAGTTCCCTGTCCCCTGAGTCTCTCTCCTCTGTGGGGGGTCAACCCCCACCAAGGGGAGCTCCACGCCTAGTCATGCTGGATTAGGTGTCCCTCCCCCAGGCCCCCCGCCATCTCCAGCCTTGCAGCTGTAGGCCGCCGCTACCTCCCTGGCAATGCTCCTCATCCTGCCTGACTGCTGGGTGTCGAGGCGGAACGGCGATGGGTGGCAGAACTCGCGGAAGCAGCGCTTGAAGTTCTCGTCCAGGAAGGCGTAGAGCACAGGGTTCAAGCTGCTGTTGACATAGCCCAGCGCGATGCAGAAGTGCATCAGGACCAATGTGAACAAGCTGCTCAGGTTGAAGCCCAGCGACTGAGCCAGGACCATGATCTGGATGGGCGTCCAACAGACAACGAATGCTGCCACTACCACCAGGACCATCCTGGTGATACGCCGCAGATTGCGGTCTTTTTCCTTGGAGCCGGACAGGATGCGAACGCTGCGCAGGCGCTTGACCATCAAGCTGTAGCAGATGCTGATTATAGCCACAGGGATGAGGAAGGAGAAGAGGAAGACGCAGGTGCCGAATACAGGATCCCAGTGACTCCTTGGTTCGGGTAAAACCACAATGCACTCGACACCTAGATTTATCCGAAAAAATGAAGAGAAGAAGAAAATAAAAATAAGTTAATTATGCAGCTTGAAAAATATTGAAAATGGGGACTGGGCAAGTGGTTAGAGCAAAGCCCAGTACAGCAACACAGTAGATCCAGGATGTATTAGCCTATGTTAAATACTGGAAGCAGGGCGAAATTGCTGATCTTACAGTTTCATGAGCAACCACCATTGGGAGCAATGACTGCAGCATCTTAAAGGTCCTGTCCTCATGGGGTCCAAGTTTGAGCTCTGTTGTATCTATATACTGAGCAAAGCCCTGGTGACTCCTTTGATGCTATAAAAAGCCAACATCACAGCTTCAAGCAGTTCTATTTCTTCACTACTGTCAAACCCTTGTTATGCTAGGCTAAACAAGTCTAAATGCACAGAGACTGAATGTGAAGTGCATTTCCAAAAATAAATCTTTATTATTTACACATTATGCAATTAAACTGGGATAAAACCGACTTTGTATGGTACAGGAAGAATGTGGGTGATATCTGAATACTAATGTATTCATTAAAAATGCTAATTACTAATGCAGATTAGGCAGTTATACTAATAATAGAAGACGGGAACAGAAAATTAAGGAGAGAAAAAAATGTCTGCATCTATAGTTGGAACATGACCACAAAGGTATCAAGGAGACAAAGTATGAAAGGATAAATGAACGATGACAGGGGCATCAGTTTTCACAGGGAGACCGGTTTAATCAGTTTAATCATAATACAGTCAGCAGCTAAAGAAGGATTGGGTGGGAGAAAGAAGACAGGAAGATAAATGTGTCTGGACCTATAAAGAGATAAGTAGTGACAGGTGAAATAAAAGAGAATAAATGATGAGGAAGCAGGTGGGCTGGTGAAATTTTACATTTGAATAAGAAAATGTAGCAAAACTTGTGCAGGGGACCTACATTTATACAAACATCATAATAACTTAAATTTAACACCTTCAAATTCAAAGTAAGTAATACACACGGGAGGAGAGAGACAATTGAGGGGAAAATGCATCTGCCCGACCACAATGAGTGATGACAGGAGAATACATATTTGTACATAAACACAGCTGCATTTTGAGCCTAAATTACAACAGAGAACAGAGTCCCGGTCCTCCTGATAAGACCTTGTTTGCCCAAATGAAAGTCAGGTGTTGGGTTTGGACACTGGAGAAAAAAATCCTCTTACCATGCAGAAAACAGTGAATCACAAACTGAAGTGAAAATGCAAAACTGACTACACAGCAGTGAACGACTGATCCTCTTCACCTCCAGCAGATCCAAGAGGTGCAGTGTTTACTGATTAGCTGCTAAGATTTCTGGGAAATGATGACTCTACAACATAAGATACACTTATCCTGAGTCCCATTGAAGACAACTTTGATTTATTCAAAGACGTTCAAACTACATCAGACTAAGTGAAAAATAAGAATAAATACTTGGTTACAACATGCTGATGTAAAGCAGGTGAAATATTTACCATGGTTGCCATCTTAGTTTAGCATATAAACATGCTAAAATTTGCAAATTAGCCCTAAGCAGAAAGTGCAGCTGAGGCTGATGGGAATGTCTTTGGTACTGCAGGTATTTGGTGACCGACACTGCCATCTCTAGAGTCACGCTCAAGATTATAGTCAGGGTTATGATCAAAATTTCTAGTTCTCCTTTGCAACAGTCAAATCTGCTGAATGCATTGCATTGAAATACATGTTTTTTCTATGTCACATTTTAATGAACATTAAGGGTTACTCTGTGGTATGGCTTGAGAAAAGTCAATAAAACTTAAGCATGCAGCTCTTTTACTGTAGCACCTCCTGAAAACCTGACATTTAGAACTAAAGAGGTATCTAGTACTGAACTGCTGACAGCAGCAGTTTAATACTTTCTTGCTTAGTCAGCCTGGTGAAACGACAGCACAGTGGTGGGGCACGAATAGGGATGAAAAAGAAGACGAGGAAACCTCCTGTACGTACACATTTTTTGACATTGCATTTGTCAAAGGTCCAAACAGTGACTTATTACATTTTAGAGATGATGTAGTTCTGGGATTTCTGCCATTAGATTTGCCATTAGAGTTCATGATTTAACCGTAACTCTGGAGTGAGCACAGATTAAACATTTAGATTTTTTTGAGGATCAAATTTTAATGGCAGAAATAAAGCTTTAAAGTGTAGCAGGAAGCTGGAGAACACTTCAGCCATGTCAGTGGTTTCTACTTACTCTGATTATAGTGGTTAATCATCATTAACCAAAAGTGTTTTTAAGGAATTAGTTAACATTTTCAATCCCTGCGGAGCACCACTTCAAATAAATTGTTCCATGTTTAGTCCCTGTATTTAAAGAAGAGGCACTTGAACAAGAGCCACAGATACATTATTTTATCTTTGACAATTTATCCATATTTTTGAAATATTAAGTGATAAATAAAACAACATAATGCAATGTTTTTGTTTTGAATTGAATCCTGTGTTTAAAAACTGTGTTTGCACCAATGGTGAGATAAGTTAGCGCGTGCACACACACACACACACACAGCAAAATAAAATACACAACAGTCACAATAAAACCAGATCACACAAATAGGACTAGGAACTGTTGAAGAAAAAGTTGATCTATTATTCCATTTGGTGGAAGCTTTTATCAGATGCATCTCACAGAGCCACGAGTGCGCACAATTTACAGTGTGTGGGCGTCCCCAGTAAAAATGGAAGCCGTAGCCCCGGCTCCATTACTGCCACACTCCAACCATTGATCAAAAAACACAGTAAAAGTCTGTGTGAAAGGGCAGGAATAGTAATAACCTGCTTGATAGGGTTGTGAAGTTTATGTGTTTTATAAAAATGGCTGTAGATGGCTCTCGGTTCCCTGTGGGAGAAGGTGGTAGAGATGGAGCTGCAGGTCGGTTTTGAACCTGAAGGAAAACAATACCAACAAACATAATAATGGTATTAATCCCTGTGGGGAAATAATCCCTTTTCATGGAGGGTCAGAGGGCAAAGAGAACAGACACCTTCATGTTGTGAGAGGTGGGAATCCAAGAATAGCAAAGTTGCTGCTTAATTTACAGCTTCGTTTTCTGGTGTGTAATGAAAATTACAGTCTTACGCTAACACTAACATAACTGTAGAGTATCTTCTCATTCCTGCCTTCATTTCATCGTCTTCACAGTGAGGACCCCGCTCCCTCTATTTTTTCTCAGACGGCACTGACATCTCTGACAACGACCCTCAGGGACACTTCAATTTATTATCTATGATTTCATTTTCATTCTGTTCAGACAGGCTGAGAACTCATCAGTACACTGACACACACACACACACACACAGCGACATTCAGAAACCTCAATAACTGCGGCTTCAGCTTCTAAACAGGTGAACATGAGAGCGTTTGTGGACACGTCAACATGCAGACGCAGAGAAACACGCAGTATGAATGTGTTTCAGATTCTCACTCTGCTTCCGGCTCTGGTCAGATTCAGAAGAGTATCGTTTCAATGTCCTATCCCCGGCAAACGTTCCATTTCAGTGGGATTAATGTCACACACAGGAAGTAAACATGTCATCTCATGAATGTTGGGCTTTGTGACACTTCACCAAAGGCACATGGTGAAGGGAAAGTTTCATAATAGCTCAATTCTCCAGCAAAAAAACTTTATTGTGAGAGCACTGCATTTCAGCGAGTGGCCTTCATCAAGGTCACCACAACATATTACACAAGACACATCTCAGTGGAGGCGGAGGTGAGGGGCTCAGGTTAACGTGAAGACATATAAGCATATAAGACACATGTAAGACAATATGCAACAATATCCACTTCCTGCTAACACACTCTGTGAGAAATCTATGTGATACCGTGGGACATTCAAATATCACCAGGAAATGATATTAGCCTATGCTTTTCTACACGTCTACACACACCTAGGCGCACACACTCCCTGCGAGTTTTATTCTGACAGGAATTGATAAACAGCAACACTTGATTCAATTCTCTGGAGAGATGCTGTCTCCTCATAAATGCCAGTTTTCGTAGTTGACCCAGACTGCCAGCTGCATTAATGCACACACATTCCCGCGCATAAAACACACACACAAACATGTAAATTCATGAAAACGTGTTGATGTGTGCACTGAATACATGCACTTGCCAGTATTTTGACATGAATACCTCTGCTTTCGTGTCTCTGAAGAGCCGAAATCTCGGAGACGGGATGTGTTGCTGCTCCATTAAAGCATTTTTCTGCAGCTCAAAGCAACTGAAGGTCAAGCTGCAATCACTCGATAGCTGTTAGCAACTGTCACTCGATGACTGTTTCTAAGTATATCAGCTTTTAAAATGCCAGTGGAATATATATATATATTTTTTTATTTCCCTCTGTTTCCATACAAACCAGTATTGTCATATTTCTAAATCATCCAGTGAAAGAGTATTCACAATTAGCCCAAATGAACCTTCATTAATTCAACGCTTAATGTCAAAGAAGTTCACATCATGTTGGAACAGGAAAATTGCGATAATGTTCTACAACAAAGAAAGTTTAACTCATACTTCCACTTACGTTAAAGCACTCTGTGTTTATTTTTCCATGTCTTTCTTTCTTTGTCTCTCCACATTATATCTCCCATACTTTCTGTCTTTCTTTCATATATATATATATACGTAACAAGGAATCTGTGTCTTATCTTGGTTTCCATTTCACAGTTGATGACTCTCCACCTCTACTCATTTATCACTTGTTTCCCCTCTATTGCGTTTTGCCTACCTCTTTCTTTTTCTCTTCCTGTCTATATTTTTCTCTCGCTTCCACTGTTTTTCTCATTTTGTTTCAATTCCTTGATCATGCTCTCTCTTACTTTCCTCACCTCTGGTTCAGAGCTATTATTTTCTTTTTTTCCCATTTTGATTTAACCTCTTTCTGTGTCTTGTCTTCTGTTTCTCTGTCCTTTCACTTTATTTTATCCTATTTCTTTTCCTTCTTTGCTGTTCTTAGTT